CCACTGCTGAAACCAAGAAACACCGTATCTCTGCAATCTTCATTTTGATGGGTGGATACGGCGCACTGTGGCTGCCTCATCCACTAGCAGCGTCAGTTTGCTGCATCATTATTGCACCCATAATGTCCAAAAAAGTGCCTACTATTTGATTGTTGAACTCTCTTGTCATTAAATCTTTCGAGAAGGTTTAGATACTATTTTGTAGTACTGGCTTGAACTTAGAATCACAGTATGGAGCGAACTACCGGTCTTCTTCATTACTGCTGTAGGATTGTAGCTCATAGCAGATGGCGTCACTGTAGGATAGGCCGTTCAAAACAATTTGAAAAAATTTAAAAAGCTGCGTAACAAGGTTTCCATGCATTCTAATTTTATTAAATACTTTTTTGTACATGCAGAGCTTTTCAAAAGACGTAACCGAATTTTTGACTAGTATTAGAGATCGGTTGTCACTATATATCTAACGTCATCTAGTTGCTGCAGCAATACTGACTGTTGATGTTGCAGCAACAAATCTTTGTATCGCTGTTGCTGCAACACCATAAAGGTTTGTTGTTTGGAGTTGCAACCTCATAGGTCATTTCTCGCTCTCGTAGTGTTGCAGCAACAATCATAGTGGAATGTTGATGCAGTTGCAACAGAAGCATATCCGCTGGGTCAATTGCAGTGGACAGCTCAGGGTAATTTTGCTATTGTTGCAACAATAAGTGTTGCAACATCAACGCGCTTGCTGCAACACCACTGTGGCTACGTCTGACCAAAATGTTGGTCGCAAACAGTTGTCTTACATGTTGTTGTTGCAACAACACTACAGCAGACCCGTGCAAACGGGCAAAGGATCCACTCCTAAATCTTCGGGCTTATGATCTACACTTCTCTACTTGTATTTTTTGCACTAATTGAAATACATGCAATCTTCAATTCCCACCAAAACTGCTAGATACCATATAATTCCTCTCAAAGTATAGGCGCAGCATAACTGGCGACATTTCAACCATCATTATTTGCCTCGCGGACACTACAATTCGTTCAACGTCTCATTCTGTGTTTTGTGTTCTCATAACTATTCTTTGCTTTTTGCAGGAGTTTCGCCAAGTTTTCTGCAGTTTTTTGTTAGGTATGCGATCCAATGAGCTTTTCTTTGTAGGAATGACTGCTGTATCCATCGGAGAGGACTGCGAAAATATGGTCGTAGGCGATATAGACGAGAAGACTAGCGTCAAAGACGAGTCGAATATGGTTGTAGACGATACTGACGAGAAGATCGGCTTCAAAGACGAGCCTTCTCCAGCAGTGGAGGATTCTCTTGATTTGGACAGGATTCATATCAGTCCAGTGCCGAAATATTTTGGTTTTAAACAGTTCAGAAAGTTGTTGGAAAAGTATGTGCGACGTAAGTACCTTCATCAAAGGTTTTTATCCTGATTGTGCTTTCAGGCACCTGAAAGGGATAGAAATAAAGAAGATTCGACAAATGAAGTTTGATGCCTACGTCAGTTTCAAAACTCCCGAGGACGCGCAGTCAGCTATCTCCAAGCTCAATGGTCTGGAAGTGAAAAAGACGGTTTTAAAAGTGCAGTTAGCACCGACTGAAACGAAGGTAATCAGTTCTTTTAGATGAATTATCGTTATTGAAGGGATTTCAGACGTCATTCGATCCAAGTACGCAACAAATTAAGCCCAAGACTGCTAGGGAGAGTGTAACACCGCTTGCTGACGTTCCTTATTCGGAACAGCTGCAGCAAAAAATGAAGGAGTCATTAAGGTCAGGCTAGATTTACTTTTAAATGATGGGAAATATCAATTCGACATGATTTAGAGTATGTGATAAGCTTCTTATCGAGTTGAAGAAGGCAAACGTCGATGGCGCTTCTAATCTTAAGTCTTCTGAGCTTGTGAAAAAGGTCGGTTCACATTTTACCTTAGAGGCAGATTTGTTTGTCATTTGAGAACTTACGTATAAACTGAAGCTTTAAAATTTTAACAGTTCTTTGAGAATTCTCCATACCTCTTCTTTTGCGGGTCAGGGAGTTCAAGTAGGTCTTACACTAATAGCGAAAATAATAATTACTCGGTACTTCCTATTTTCTCGTGTTGATACTCTAAGAGATGTCTTTGTTGCTCTCCGACCAGCAACTAGCGTGAGTGCTAGTAAAAAATTCGTTGTAAGCCTTCTGTGATACTGTTGATTCAGTGTTATTTGACCTTAAACTGCATAGTCTCACACTCTTTCAAAACCGCATCCATCGATTTTGACTCTCGACGCTCACATCATCAAACCTTTTGAGAGCAGAACTTTACGTAACATTTATCCTAGGATAAAGTCGGTTTTTCTCAGTCTATTTGTCATGAGTTAAGGTGGTACGGTGACATTAATGTTATC